GTATTATAAGAATCTTACCAAGTAAATTTTTCTTTATCTATTTGCAGAAAATTTTCACATAATTTGAGTCAAATTTTCACGCTAACAAGACAAATAATCTTACACATTCTGAAAACAAGATTATCATTCTTACACAGTCAGTTCTTGTTTAGTAAATCAGTCTGAAAACAAGATCAAAAAGACTTTTATATTTTTATATGATATAAGATTTTAAAACTTGGTTACATGGACAGTTTTTGCAGTGAACATGATCACTCCGAACCTGGGATTACGTCAGATTAGATTAAACTAAACTCGACATGTTTTCAAATTCTTGCTTTTTAATCTACATCTTAACATTTTTATATCAAGAGAGGTTCTGGAGGTGTGGCCTGATCTGACTGCTGGACCATGGGTCTGAATCCGTTTTTAATCACGTACTGATGCAGATTTATTCACATTGTTTGAAAGAAGAAACTTCAACTCATAACTGGATGTCAGGATTTCTTAGCTGGGATTGAAAATAAAACTTCAGGTAAAGTAAAAAAATAAAAGTTTTTTTTTCCGCTTATAAAAGTGCTTCAGAACATCGACATTTTTCAGCTACAGTTTCATAGCTGCCTTTTTCTCACTTTTACAGTTTGAACACACAGGTTCCAAAAAAATAATGTTTAACATTTATTGTTCTTATAGTTTKGTTTTATTACAGATATGTTATATTGGTACCACTTTACAATAAGGCTCCCCTTATAGATGGCTTATAAATGTGACCCGTCACATCGAAACAAGGATTAAGTCCAAAAGTTGTTTATGGAGAAACAGGCAAATATAGTGTTTTGATTAAAACGTTTGCAAAACTTGCATTTTGTCAAAATATAATGAATAAAAGCCTTATTAATGTATCATTTGAATGAACTGTCTGAAATATAATCATAAAACATAATTTTGAAACACTTTTTTGAAGAGTAGCAACAAAAAAACTGATTTTGAGGAAAAACGCCTTAAAATTTAAGATTTTCCCTGTGAGTTAACAAAGTTTTGTTTCTTTTCGTGGAAATCTCAATATTTAAATAAAATTTGAGGTTTCCTCTTTATAAGGACATCAAAAATTCCTCATTAAAATGACATAAAATTAGGATTCAGACCAAATATTTATG